TCCTCTTTTCTTTTTTTTTTTTTTTTTTTTTTTAAGTATATTTTTAGACTCGACTCCTCGACTCGTTTCATCCTATTTCGATTTATGTAAATTTTAAAATTTATTTCCTGGAGAAGATCTAAATTAATTCGGAAAAAAAAATCCAGTCCGATTCGATTCAAAGGATTATTCATTAGAATTTATGAAAAATATGTTCGTCCGTGACAAACAGTTCGCAGTTAAGAGTTAAGCGTTCCTCGTGATTAATGGAACGGATTCCAGAGATCGACGTACGAAACGATTCGATGAAAGCAATCGTTTAATTTTACGAACGTTCCCCGACCCACTAATGGATACCTCTTTTTCTTCTTTCTCTTTGCCCGGTTCTTTCGCAACTGCTTCTTCGAATTTTTTCTTCTTCTTCTTCTAAGAACTGGTCACTGTCTTATTTCTTCCTTTTCTATAAAAAAAAAAAAAGAAAACACCAAACTCGCGAATACAATTTTACACATTTTTTTTCTCTCTACACATTTACCTTTTATCTCGCACTGTTAGGAAGAGGAAGAGACCATTGCAGATGGAAACAGTAGTGTAACGAAACTTCCAATTTCCCGGAAACCCGTGTTTGACCAACATAAAAACGAGGATGCAGGGAAGAAGCTACGAGCCGATTCTCTCGAAAAAAACAGACGCTTCCTTTCGATTCCGCATCCTATCGATTTGATACCTTTCACTATCCGTTTCCGCGATGCCATTAGAACACAACGCGGAAGCGACGCGTTCCATGACCTCCTCGAATGCATAAAACATCGCACAGACGATACGCTTCCTCACGCCTCCTATCGAACATCAATGGACAATTGTTCGTCGCGGAGGATTGAACGAAGGATCCCCCACTGTTTGCGAGTGAACGAAAGTTAATTAAGATTTATTTCGCGAAGAAATATCTCCGATTCGATTTTTTAAAAAATAATATCGATATACGAGAAAGAGAAGAGCGGATGTAAATCGAAAAATAATTATAAACAAATTTTCGAAAATTGTTATTATACAAGGAGGATGAAAGTGGATCATCGCCTTGGCCTTGAAACCTAGCAACAGGTTTCTTTTTCCTGAGGAGAGGAGAAAAGTTACCGGCCGGGTCACGGCCGAAAAATTATCGTGGAAGCAGATCCGATCCTGCGTATCGATCACGCGAGAGTGAAAACAGTTTCTCGACTTCTCGGTAAGTCTATCATTGACCCTTGGTGCCGTCTTCTGGCACCGTGAGATACATTTCTTCGCCTCTCCGCGACCATTTTCATTATTTTTCGTGAAGTGAAAGTTCGAGCGAGTTGCACGAAACGAAACTCTCTTCATTCATTCTTGATGAACACACTTTTAATCAAAAGATCGCTTTCCGTTTATTCCCACAACATTGAACGCACAATGTGTGACACCGACATATAATTTTCCTTAATTAAACTCAATTCTACACTTTTTCCTCTCCACTTTTTTCGATCATTCTTCTTCCTTGTATTAATAAGTTCTTTCCCCCCTTCTTTTTTCAAATTCAAGATTTTGTTACATTAATCGGGTACAAGATTAACCAAGATTGTTTCAGGATAGATACAACTCTTCTCGATTCCTCTAAATCACCGTGGTCGAACTTTCTCGATGCATCCGAAGGATCGTTGTCGTCTTTCGAATTAAAATTTCCGGCTTTAAATCTTACGACGTTTTGCATATTCTGCAAAGATACAGCGTTTCTTTGTAAAAAAGTAAGGAGTGACGCCATATTGCTTAAAATTGTCGCACAGGATTGAAAGCTCTAGGAGCGCTCGTCGCGGCTCTTCTTAAAAACGAAAGAACATTCTTTCGGATGGCGCCACGAGCGGTAAGGTAATTTGGTGAGAAGTTCTGATGGTAGAAAAAAAAGGTAAGGAGTTTATTTAATAATATATTTAATAACGTCGAATCGTTTCGTTTCAAATCTGTCGATGGATGCGTTGGACAAATGGTACGAATCGTTATGCGTATATTTCCTTTTTTTATTTTTTTTTGGAATTCGAGATAAACGAAGTGAAAACGAAGTTGAGACCAGCTATAAGGACGCTATCCACCGACTGAAAGTCGTCATTACGCCTCATGATCGGGTCACTTTGACTTTCTTTCAATTTAGGGTTGCAGCTGTCTTCTCCGCGCTTTTATATTCCAAAGGATAATGGCACTTGGTTACTTTCACCGCGCGTGCACGGAGGATCGACGGAGGAGGAACGAACGAAATCATCCTTCGAGCGATCCGCGATAGTTCGCCTCGAAAGGAAGAGAAAATGTTCCTCTACTTTTTTTTTCTCTTTCCTCCTTTTGGATATCGTGCGTATACGCGATCAAAGAAAGGATAAGAATTTCCCTACTTTAGGAGTAATATCACTCGACCGAACCGAACATAACATAATTTATTACGTTGTGAAACGCGTAATAACCGATAAATAGAAGAAAAAAAAAAAAAGGAAGGATCGATGTCACACTACCATTACTTTCCAATTGTTTCCCATCGGTTATGCACTATTGTATAAGTAAAAACAACAAAAAGATAAATTATCATAAGGCGAATTTCACTTTTTTTATTACCGTCCTCTCTAAAAAAAAAAAAAAGATGTTCGAAGATTTATTATTCGAGATCAAAAGCGCTTCTTTCCTCTTTCTTTTTTTTCTACGGAATAATATATTCGGTGTATCACCGAGGTGCAAATTATACAAATCGCAAACCGACGAACGATAAGCGGTAAAGAGGAAAGATTTTTCGAACGTTCAACACGCTCGTTAAATGTAATTGGTGTAGCGATAAAACGTAAACAAGTTTTTTCGTATTTATCGTGTCAACTTTGTAAAAAGTTCGCGTCTTGTAAAATTGCTCGTAAATAAATAAATACAAAATTTTCATAAGTGAATACAT